TGTTATTCTAAAGAGTCTACTTTTTATGAAAATAGCCATATGTTCCAAAAAAAGAAAAGAAAAAAACTTAGTGAAAAGAAAAGTTTTAGTTTACTTTCTTACAAATCTGTCAGTATCTAGCTTGGTAGAAAGGGGAAGATTCTCATGTCTGATTCTGCAGCCCATCTTTTGAATTTCTATTGCTTTGGTTGAAGTCTACAAAAATAATCAGCCTCATAGAGATATGTAGTTGGAAAAGGGAGGAATATTCTAATGGCCTTTTCAGGTAACTGTGGACATTTGCCTTTGATACTCCCACAAAGCCCAACAAATAGTAATTTATTAAAAGTTAGTTGCAATGGGGGATCAGAAACCATCTCAATGAACTTTTCATACTTCATTACACTGAAATCCATTGATCCATCTTGCGCTTTGAATAGATCTTTCTCCATGCGTGATTTTAATACATCATGCGTTGGGCATCTGGAAAGTACTGGTTCACTGAATTTCCAAAAAGCTCTCATTTGTTAATATCAATATATCACCAAATGATCTCAGCCGACAGTTTTCAAGTATTGACAAGCTATTAAGCCCATAGTACAGATACAAGTTTTCAGAAGTTTTAATATTAATTTGAAAGTTCAAATGCTATTACTGGCAACAAATACTGTCTGTGGTTTTTCTTAAAGTGACAAACTCACTTTTTTTAAAAAAAACAGTCTGCTGGATACTCAAGTCTGATTAAGCAAAGTTTGTTGGTTGTTGCCCAGTAAAAATGACATTAAATGACATTCCATGAGAAAAGTGTTAAGTCAGCTTGCAACTCCAACATAAGTCCTTTTCCTTGAGACAACCATCATACTTCAGTAGGCAGACAGTGCACTTTATATGGACTTGCTATTTGTCCCATACTATTAAAAACATCCATACTCGAGGGTTGAAACAAGAAAATTAATAATTTTTACTGCTTCATTCAAAGCACTTTCAATTAAAATTGTCATTTTATTTTACTGTGAGTCTGTGGTGATGCAGAACAGGACAGTGAGTGCAGTTTGGTGTTACTGCCTTACTTTGTACTGAGGGGCCACCTTTGCTCTTGCATCATTGGTGTCAATGTCAATTGACTTGTTTCAGGGTAAACTGTAAGATTTGAAAAGTTATTCTTCAGTGAATAGTTCACTACCACGTGTGTTTATTGCTAAGAATTCCTATAAAATGGCCTTCTTTGGTGATTAGTTGGTTCTGATGCCAGGTGAAGATAAGCGAAACAGCAAGTCCAGCCACGAGTATAGATGAATTCATTTGTAAGTCCTAAGTACAATTCCACAGGCAAGATCTCAACTCGTCTTTGTGTTTGCAGCTTCATCTTGGATCCAGTAAGGTGTTATATCTTTGGCAAGAGGCAGTGCAGTGATTTTTTTTCCCACTGGCTTCACCCAACAGGCATTCTGGAGAGTCTGCTCTGCAAGGCTTTAGTGGTCTCTCAGCCATCCTGTGGGATTCTCGAGTCACTGAAGGGTGGAAGTTCACCCTGTAAAATGCTTCCCTTGTTCTTCCACTTCTGATTTGAAAAGCTCCATCAAAAATATGTTGGGTTTTAAAAACTCTATCATGTTTACATTTAAAAACTCAATATTCTCTTCTTGAAACTTTAAGTAATTAGGCTCAAAGTGATATTACAACTGGCATGATAATATTGTTTAAATATTCTGTTGACAATACGGTAAATTATTATCACCTATAATGCTGAAGGAATGCTAGGTTTTGCCATATTTCTATCTCTTATCTCCAGTGTCTCCAATTTCTTTGGACTAGATTGTCCCCCCATGAGTCAGAAAACTCTCTGCTGTGCCCTTCTTATATTTTTCAGTGTCTTTAGAGTTAGAAATTGGCAGCTCTGGCAGGAGCATAAGAATCTTACATTTTTTTCTTTTCAAGTAAATTGTCTACCCTTAAAAATAAGAAAAATATAAAATAAAATTTTAATTAAATTCTTAATATTGAGAATTTTTACAAATTTCTAAATAATTTTAGCTTAGATAAAATTTAAAAAGTTAAATTTTGAAAAGATATAAAACTATTATTGCAATGCAAGGTGTCCAAATATTTTTAATTATTGTTTTCCCTCTTAGGCAGAAGGAATACTTCAGAAGTTCAAAGGACTGATTTATTGAATGATAATAAGGTACAGAGATTATAGAAGGTGTATGATAATTAATTCAGAGAAGCACAAAGTACTGAAATGGTACTGAGTTAATTTCTGTAAATAGCACACATACGGCCAACCTAATACTACTTTTAAAAATTCTACAAAGCACAAGAACATAGAAGTACACATGCATTAGCCATCAGAGCAGTGATGTCATATAGTCTCTGGGGGATTCTGCTGCACACATGAGAAAGAAGAGTGAAAAAGGCAAATGGCAGCTTAGACTATGTGCTTTGACTTTGAGGACCCCCATGCACGGGTCTTGGGGAATCCTGGGCTCCCAGAACACATCTGAGCACTGTTACCGAGGTAATGATATTCTATAAAAGGCCCCATTTTTTGTTGTTTGTTTATTTTGCAGCCACCTGGCTGTAATAACATTCTTTGCACTTGGATTTCCCCCCCTAAGTTTTTATGTTCACACACTAGGTTACCAGAAACAAAATTACTAAAACAAATTCAGAATGTGGGGCATCCAAAAAGACAGCTGTCCCCCAAATCTTCAAAAAGTGAATGTAATAATGGTGGCGGGGGTGGGGGGTGGATGGGAGGATGGTGTAGAATAAGAGACTAGAGAAACATAACAGCCAGAAGCAGTGTGTGGATTTTTATGGAACCTGGCTTGAAAAATAAATACGTTTTTGAACAATAGGCAATTTTTGAATATGGGATTGGGTGGGCAGTTAGGCATGAGCGGAGCAAGGATGACAGACCAGGCATGGAAAATCACCCAGGGTGGAGAACAAAGACAATCGTAGAGTGGAACCTCACCCCCAGGGCAGCCTTTCCCAGAACTCAAGTATTGAGGTTGCTGAACTGAGGTCTAATCACCCCTAACATCCTGGTGCTGGTTCTCTGCTAACAGAACAACTGTTAGATGATATTTTGGAGTTGTAGTTAATTTTTCTTACGTATGATGATGGTTCATAGTTACTTGTTTAGGAACATGTTATTTTTAGGAACGTGTATGCTGAAGTATTAGGGGTGAAGTTTGATGATAATCTGCTTTCAAAAAGTTCATAAAATGACTATAAAACCCACCTAGAAAAATAGAAGGCTTGCGGGTAGATAAAGCAAAGATGGCACAATGTTAACAGCTGCAGTTTTAGGTGGTGGGGATTCAGGCGATGCTTTAACTATTCTGCCTTTTAATTTATTTGATATTTTTCTTTTCTTCAGTCTTTATTCTTTTAAGACATGTTTTTATTTATTGAAAGTATTACAATAATACTTTCCCCCCATTGACCCGTCAACCCTGCTCCCACACCCCTCAGGCCTTCACACTGCTGTCGTTTTCATAGTAAAAAGTTGGTTAACAAATGAAGTCACTAAATTATCTTATTAGTATCATTGATTCATTTCAAAATTATTACCTAAAAGAAGGTAGCACTGTTTTGAAAGTTACATGAGGCATTTCTAAATACTTTCACTGTAAAGTGCATAGCTCAGTAGGTGATTAGCTTCACAGTCATTCGGATGGAAATTTCCATCCTTTCTTCTGAGTGGTGTGACCTAAGACGAGTTTCCAAGATCCCCGTGGTCTTAACTGTAAAATGGGTGACAATAACAATGGTTATTTGATAAGGCTGTTGTAAGAATAAAATTTATATTATCTAAAAAACCCTCAGCCTAGTGCCTGTATGATTCTAATCAAGCCAGAACTACTCTGCAAGTCAAATATAATAATTCAGATGTACATGCACTCATGTGGAGTCCCCTCCCCCCCTTATTTAAGCATAGAGGTAGGATTAAATGAGAATTTAGTTCCACATCCCAGTTAGATTTTCCAATGGAGTTTTAAGAATGATGTATTGAAGAGTATTTTTTTAAGTCATTACTATTTCTCATTTAAAAGAAGTTTTGTTGGTTCGTATATTCAACATCATACAATACTTTTATTTATTGGTCAAAAAGGGAAAAATAAGAGAAGAGGGTGAGAAGAGAATTAACATTTTTCAGTGTCTGCTATGAGTCTGGCTCTTTTCTCCATTCTGCCTGATCCTCTCAACTGTGCTAGGAAGCATTCCATGCTTTCATCCCTGTATTCAACACATGCTCCCAAGTTGTTATTCATGAATCACTAAAAATACAGGGTTGAACAAGACAGAGATTGCTTCTATTTTTGTGGTATTTTAATTTGACCACGGAAGACAGCCAGTAACAAATATCCGATTATCTAATATGGTTGTAGGAGGGGATAAAAGACTTTATAATAGGAGGACCTAATCTAGTGTTGGGAGATCAGAAGCTTCCAACATTGTTGATGAGTGCTCGCTGGTCTGCATATATCATCAAGAGTGTGTGTTTGTGTGTGTATGTATGTGTGTATGTGTGTATGTGTGTATGTGTGTATGTATGTGTGTTTGTGTGTGTATGTATGCGTATGTGTGTGCATGTGTGTGTGTGTGTGTGTCTGTCTGTCTGTCTGTGTAAGGGGGTGTGGAGCAGTGGGGACAGAGGACCTAAAGGGGGAGATGGAACTGAAAGGAATGTGGTGACAGCAGGCTGCTCAGGGAAAAGGTGTGTTTTCCCTATTATAGCTGGGACACTTAAGGTCACCCAGATAAAAATACAAGTGGGATTTGAACTTGGTTCTGTCTAAACCCCAAGCTCTTTCACAGAAAATATACCTTTTCTTGTTAGTCATCAATCCATGCTTAAGTTACTGCTTTGGCCTACATCTGCAGACTCTTTGTCGTGAAGCCTTTTGCATTTTCATTCAGATACATTGCTGTGTGTGTGTGTGTGTGTGTGTTTTAATTAAAAGTAAGTCACTGTTCATGCCTTCAGATTCATCTGTTTTGTTTTTCAGTGTTCCCACATTCCAGAGCCTTCCTGAAGAGATCCTCAGTAAACTTGCTGACGTCCTTGAAGAGGTAATTGTTTTTAACACTTGAACTTTCCCAATGGGACCTAGCCCATTAGAGCTTTCCAATGATGAGTTACAAACCGCAGGGAGACCTTTTAAATATTTTATAGCTCTATATTCAGCTTCAATAAAAAGCAGCTTAGCACATCTGACATTTACTCATAGTCAGAAATGTGCAAATCAACTACAGAGGGAGAAAAACTTGATTGTAGCAAATGTAAGGTCACGTTGACTTCCAAGAATGGGAGCTGGCATATTTCTATCTCATCTCCGTCCACATGAAGCAAGAGTGTAGTTAATCACCCCTTTGAAGGTTCGGATGAGCAGATTTACAAGGGGAATTAACAGTTGAGTATATATTTTATTAGCACATGAGTATATTTTGCACACATCGTTATGTGCCTGAAAGTGAAAGTGTCATTTTTGCTTATTCTCTGGACCTTTGAAACTCAAAAAAAAATGTTGAAGCAGGAGACAGAGGGGTTTGACACAGGCAGCATCCTGAGGATAGGGTCTCTGGTGCCCATAGACACAGGGGAGACAGAGTGTCTGGACACATGTGCAGCCAGGTGCTTGGAGAAAACCTGTTCTGGTATCTTGTTTCCTTGGTAATCTAGAAAGCAAGGTCGTCCCAACTGAGGATGAGGACTGAGTAGAGGTATGAGAGGTTTGAGGACAGAGGAGGTAATGTGAGAAAAATGAAAGAGGGGATGGACTAGGAAAGCACAGTATGATTGCGGGACATCATTCAGGCTCCACTTGATGTGTGCAATCCCAAATCTAAGCTGAACAGGCCAGGGAGAACCTACTTAAGGCTTGCAGTAGGGGAGAGAGAGAAAACTCAACTGTGCTGGAATGAAAGATGGAGGACTCTTAAGGGCTGAGGTGAGCTGGTGTAAAAGTACTGCAGTGGGGAGGCGGTTGGGCAATGTGACTAGGTCATCACTGTTTGCTCATTATCCCTGTGGAAGCTAGGCTCCCACCCTCCCCCAGAGACTGGGGGATAGGGCCCTGTCTCCTTCTATGATGACATTTGTAAGGCAGAGCTGCTAGGTCCTTGAGAAAGACCTTTCTGGGCTGTAAAACTGGCAAAGGCTGGGAGAAGTTTTGCATCTCAAGGAGGCAGGTTAAGTGTTTACAGTTGCAAACTTCCTCAAGTAACTGCTCTAAGAAAAGGAAGACCTGAAACCTAGAGTCTGGAAGAAGGCGTCTCAAGTTTATTCAAGGTGTGCATGTGTGTGTGCGTGTGTGTGTGTGTTTGTGTGTGTGTGTGTGTGTGTGCGCGCGCGCGCGCTCAGTCCCATTTGTTTGTCTGAAGTTAGATTCCAGGCAGACAGAGAATTGGATGTAACCAGGATTTTTTTTTTTTTTTTTTGCCAAGAAAAGATGAGTGGTTGAGGGAGTTGTGGTCAAGGGGTTGAGGGTGCATGTGAAGAAAGGATTATGATTGGCCTTGGAATTTAAACTGGGCAAAGAGAAGAAGAGCCTTAGAAGGAGCAAGGGCCAGTGAGAAATTGTAGGATCATTGGATTTGGCCTCATGACGTTGAAGTTTTGGAGTTGTGCTATAACCGAGGTGAACTGGACTGGAAAGATACTGCCAGTGTTTTTGTCTCCAGGCATTAATTATAGCAGTAAATCTATAATCTGTAGAACTTCAAAGGTTCATACATAGAAAGTCTCAGTTTGAGGCTTCCCTATGATGTATTGGCCTCCCTCACATCGGAACACAAAGTAAGGCAGAATTCACATTTGATTCCTACATTCAAGTATAAAAAATTCATGAAAAGAAATACTGGCCGTATTTCTCTCGGAATGCGCCGACCATTGTACCTGAAACCACTGTAAATGGAAAACTGCTTTTCCTAGTTGCTTTGCTTTTTGGTTTTCATGTTGAATACACTGAAATATTCTCCAATTACCTTCTTCTTTTTTTACAAACAAAACAAACTACAAATTTATTAGTCCGAATCAAGGTCATAAAAAAAGCCATGCAATCCTTTAATCATTTTCTTTCTTTTCCACAACTGTGAGAGCATTGTCTATGTTTTGCAAAAACAATAACCATAGCTCCATAAATAATTCTGAGCCAAGAAATATTTTAGTGTTTTGTGTCAGATTTCCTAATCAGAAGATGCCTTTAATTGATGTTTGGGTTCTGCGAGCCACAGCACAGTCTATACCAACACCACACGGAAATAGAAACAGATGATTAAGTGGCCACACATTTGTTTTGAGGACATGAAAATGAACTAAATAGACAAAATATGAAGTACACAGATAAGCATACTACCCAATGCATGAAAATGTTCAACTCAAGTCGAATAAACAAGCACAGTGGGAAATTAGATTAAATTATGTATCAGATAGCATGAAGCAAATTTGGAAGAGCAAAAGCAATACCAGTGTCACAAAACATTAAAGGGAATGGCTTTGCATGATAATTGGGCTGTCTTTCTTTCTACCACTATCCACAAGAAGATGAAAGAAACCCAGATTATTGTGAAAGGCAAGCAGTATTCTTCTAGCATTCAACAAAGAAGTTTGCAGCCTTGTTTGCTCCACAAATATTTATGGAGCACCTGCCATGTGCCAGCAATTGCTCCAAGCTCTGGGGATCCAGGGCCCTGCTGTCCCATCACATATGCTTCTTGGAGGACACAGAGGAGAAGTTTGTAAGGAAAACACCATCCAGTGATGAGGCCACTCTGTATTGTGTTACTAATGGAGACCTATCTGCTGAGGTGACGTTTAAGCTGAGATCTAAATGCAGATATAAGATCCCATGTGTACTATGCAGAGGGAAGAGCAGGCAGAAGGTCCTGAAGTAGGAGTGAGGTTGCTATCCTTAGGGAACAGAAAGAAGGTTTATAGTGGGGTAGGATGAGACTGTCAGAGGAAAGTAGACAAGGCCAGAGGGCAGCGGGCTTTGCCGGTCATGGTAAGGAGTTTGGTTTTTATTGTAAACACACTGGGGAGGTTTGGAGGGGCTTAACTGGTAACATTGACATGATCAAAGCTATGTTTTAATGGTGTCTCTGTGAGAAGAATAGATTATAGAGGGATAGACCAATAAGAAGGCTACAGTGAAGTAACCCAGGTAAGGATGGATGGTTTAAATGTAGATCTGCTTTCTTATTGACTATTTCATTCCTTTTACACATTATAAATACTTCTAACAGAGAAAAAAATTAAAGGGACAGGGGAGGCAGGGACTGAGAGAAATAAACTAGGTAGAAAGAGGAATGAACATAATGTCGCTGATATGATAAATGGATGTAGGAGGGTGCATGTGGCTAGAGGGAAAATGGATGATACTTGGGCATCCTGTTCTGGAGCTGAAAAAGAAACTTGTCAGTGAGTCATTGCTGGCAGTGCCCACCCAGCCCCTACCTGTGTCCCTCTGTAATTTCTAGCATGGATGTATTCCTTTGTGTGTTACTCCCTATCTATAATAATAAAAGCATAATAGACTGGACGTCCTTCCAGACAAAGCCGAGGCTTTGAGGGAAGCCCTGGTCCTGGGTGCCTGCAGGAAGCCGGGTGCAGGGAGGGGTGTAAGCCTGGGTGCCATAGGGAAGCCAGTGCCATCAGCCGGGGGAAAGAAGGCCTACTCTTGCACAAATTTCGTGCATTGGGCCTCTAGTAAAGTTTTAAAACAGGAAATAATATCTTTATTTTTAGTGTAGCAATTTAGTGCCGTTTTCTCCCTTTTCTTTATATCACAAAGTAGATACTATATTTCTTTGTATATTGACTCTCTCATGCCCTTTTCAGGAACATATAAAAAGTTTTCCCTAGTCCCTTTGAGAAGTGTGTGTACATCCTCCCATGTAATAAAAGAGAAACATGTAAATTAATGGTCCCTCTGCTATGCTCAAGCCACGCCCACAAGCCATGCTCACAAGCCACACCCACCATCCAATCAGGAGCAAGTATGCAAATTAACCCACCAAGATGGCAGTGGCCACGGAGCTGGAGCAAACAGGAGGCTTGGGTTGCCCCCGGTGACGAGGAAGCCAAGCTTCCTGCCTGCCCTGGCCGGACCTGGGCTCTGCTCAAGGCTACAGAGCTTCACTTATGGAAGATAAATCAATTCCAGGAAGAAAAAAAAAAGAGACTGGGAGCTTGGGTTGCCGGGGGGCATGGCCAGCCTGAAAACAGTCCTCAGCTCCTCACCTGGGCTGGCCAGGCACCCCAGTGGGGACCCCCACCCTGATCCGGGACACACTTTAGGGCAAACCAGTCAGCCCCCACCCATGCACCAGGCCTCTATCCTATATAATAAAAGGGTAATATGCAAATTGACCCTAACAGCAGAACGACTGGGAATGACTGGTCACTATGACACACACTGACCACCAGGGGGCAGACGCTCAATCCAGGAGCTGCCCCTGGTGGTCAGTGAGCTCCCACAGGGGGAGCTCTGCTCAGCCACAAGCCAGGCTGATGGCTGCAACACAGTGGTGGTGGTGGGAGCCTCTCCTACCTCCTCAGCAGTGCTAAGGATGTTCGACTGCAGCTTAGGCCTGCTTCCTGCTGGCAAGTGGACATCCCCTGAGGGCTTCTGGGCTGCCAGAGGGATGTCTGACTGCCAGCTTAGGCCTGATCCCCCTTGGAGTGGTCCTAAGCCAGCAGGTGGACATCCCCCAAGGGGTCCCAGACTGCAAGAGGGCATAGGCCAGGCTGAGGGAACCCCCCCCCCCAAGTGCACAAATTTTTGTGCACCGGGCCTCTAGTATAGATATAAAGAGGTTCTTGATGAAAGGCTTATCTAGGTCAAGCAGTGTCCAAACATTTTTTCTAGGTTGTGTTTTGCAAGACACATTGAAATAATTACTTGATTCTCTAAATATTTACCTTTATTGCCAATGTAGTATGTTCTTCTTATCTCATATCTGCTCAAGTCTGAATAAATATTAGAAATCATGTTAGAGCTGCTGGATTTAGTTTGCTAGAGAATCCATTTTGTAGTTTGTAAAATAAATTATAGAAGACATTTTAGGTA